ATATGTTTCAATATTATTCAGTATAGTGATGTTCCTGTTTGAATTAATTAACGTTGTGTCGTCAGCAAACAGCACAATCTCAGTATCAGGCATCATGTACTGGCAAATATCATTTATCTCTATAATAAAAAGAAGCGGTCCCAAAGCCAAATCAGACTTATTGTTCTTTACGCTCACAAACTGTTGTCTATCTGTTAAATGGGACTTAAAAAGTTTGAGTGGAACATCACGCACTTCATAAAATTCAAGCTTGCTCAAGAGAATCTGATCAGAAACACAGTCGAAAGCCTTTGAGAGGTCGCACTATGAAATCATTAAGTGTTCTCCACTTTCCAGACCCCCGACTATGTCCTCCGCCACCCTCATCAAAGCTCTAGTTGTGGAGAACTTGCTTCTGAAACCAAACTTGCCCTTTCTATTTTCAGAAAGTAAAGTGAAAAATGTCGTAGGTAGTAGCTAAGCGGAACTGCAAAACGACAGAAACGAAAAACTTCAAGGACATTTTTGCTCGGTCGGCTTTCGCAATTCGCAAAATTATTCTCCCATGGTGGCGTTGCCAAATAGTAAACAAACGTGATCGTTTTACTTGCAAAGCCAATGTTTACATTTAAATTCAAATTATTTTTAAAAACATGCTTTGGTGTTTATGTTATGTTAAAATAGAAATTAACGTAGGTAAATATCCTGGGTTTTCACACAAATTGCTTGCTGGACTAATAACAAAAACAATATAATATAAAAAGTACTCTTTAATATTGCTACATTATTTCACACGCCGATGATTCATTGTCCCTCCAACATTACGTCGTTACCATAGCAACCGTTCAAGTGTGTTTAATGTCGGCTACAACTGACGTGAAGTTAGTGATTGCCCAAAACAGTACAAAGTGTAACTTATAAAGAAAAAGGAAAACTGTTTTCGCTAGACTGCTACGTTCAAAAATGAGTTTCTATAATAATTTACTTATAAAATTCTCAAATCTATTAATTAATAAAAACAATAAAAAGTAATATAGCTTTGATTTTGACTTAATTTTGAAGCGTGAGTCATTCTCAAGGATTAAGCCAAGATTATTCACTTTTCTTGGAATCGTTCTGTTTCTTAATGCGAGATAGTTATAAATCATTATGGAATATGACAAGTTGGATGGTCAACAATATCCCGACTTGTGCACGAGGACAAATACGGCCCCATCAGGTCACCAAAGAGACTCACAGGAACCAAAGAAAGTATAATTAGTAACTAAATGATGACAAAAAGACTGTCATCAGAAGAGTAATATCTTTGCTATACTTAAAAAATCTAAAAAGTGCGAAGTAAGCTTGCATCGAACGAATTGATTAATTTTCGGTAGACACAAAATACACTAATCATTGTTTCCTATAGTTTTGAGATATGGAAAATAATTCATTTATTTTTTTTTATAAAAACTCTCAAATAAAATAATTTATTGCCAAATTTACTAATTGTACATAAATCGATCCGGCACTTTTTAATAGAAAATTGGCCGCTACCCTATTTTGTTCATGGGTCAATACGTGCACGAAAACAGGGGTGGACCTACAGAAGGATAAGATTCAATATTGTAACATTGCAGGGTTGCCACATCTACTCGAACCAGACATAAACTTTTTGTTTAATGCAATGGGATAGAAGTTTTTGAAAAAACTGCTATCGTGAAAATAGTTAACCATTTTATGTAAAAATCTGAAATGTAAACAAAAGCGCCCTCGGAAAAGTTAAAACATTATAATTACTCAAATGAATTTATATGTGGTGGTTTACTAGCATTTCAATCAAAACGAATTGGAGACTATCATGAGGACATTAATGCTGCTGTTTTTGATGATGCTAGATCTTATTCCTCCAGGATAATACCAGCTACCGCTCTTGGAAAAAAATGATTATTCAGCTACCTGTATTTATCTGACCTTTACGTTGTCCACCCTGTTTTACGATCCCTGTCATTGCAAATTTTCATTTTATCACTCTCTTGCATTAAAAAACATAGTTTAATTCTGCGTCAATTTCTCCAACCTAGCGGGAACAGGAAGTGTGATAAAACCATGGACGTGTTAGCAGTACTTCCTACTAATCCGTAGACCTAGTTTATGCTATTCGTTTTGTTTCGTTGTAGATTAAATTAAGAATAAACAAAATCTTGTGCTGCAGACCAAGTGGAGACTACCAATAGATCAGCAAGACCTTGAAGAGACGTTCATCCTTTCTTACAGTTTCTTCACTAATTAATATATTTTTTCCTCCGCTACTTTAAAAGTTTGATTTCTCTAATATAAAACACAAAAAAAAATGATTTCTTGACATGGCCTTGCTTTTTTTCATGTTGAATCGATGATTATGGTTCGAACCATTCGAGGCGTGAAATTACATTAACTTGTATATTAAGTATCGTCGACGCCGTTTTTCGAGTCTTCGCGTCGTTTTCTATAACACGCTGTTCTATTAATAGACTTAAAATTGTAACAAAAGGACAACTATTTGTTTGTCTAGTACCGTTATCGACCAATACGCATATAGATATCCACGTGGAATTTTCCAAACTGCTTGTGTGTCGATTGTCACGATGTTATCGTCGTTTCGGGTCGCTTATCCACGGAAACGGACCGTGGCGTATCCTAATCAGCCAGTAATAACCAGATCAAAGACGCTCATTCAAAAAAATCGAATTATTTCCTCTTTAAATATTATCTACGGCATACTTTTTTTGGGTCGCGCTAAAAATAGAACTTATAATTGGCTGAAAATGCGTCGCATCGTAGCAACGTCAAATTCTCAATAAACTTCTGTTTTGTCTTTTTGTAGCAGTTGCAAAAGTTTAGGACTACTCTGCGAAAATTTAGACGGCAAGTTACAAGCAAGGTTGTAATAGTAACGTAGTCCAGGACACTAAAAAGCTTCTTTGCAATACTCTAGTACTATCACACTTTAATCATTGTAACAACGTATTCATACCTTACCTAGGTATCGTATTCAAAAAGTTCAAAGCTCCTGTATGGAATTAGCTGTGGGAATCATATCTCACCATACCTAGTTAGGTGAGACTGGTTGAGTACGTTCTTGTATTTTATTGCAAAATCATTCAATGGGCGACACCGACATCTGTACAATAAGATTAGATTTCTGACAGATGACCACGATTTGAGCCTCCGTAGACGGGCTCTCCTCATACAAAATTGTAAATATGATAAAAAACTTATACTTAGATACCTCCTTGTCCTTAATTCACTTCCACTCCCACTCCAACTATGGTCTGTTCCCTCAGTTACTTTTATGCTGTCACAGATGTGCCAGATGTCTGACTTAACCATCTGCTACTAAATTTAATTCGGGATAGAATTTTGTCAATTTTATTGTCATTAATTCTTAAAGCAATAACGCTATTTAACGCTATATTAAGAGTGGGAAAATCCTTTACTGTAGTGACTATAAACCAGAGAATAATATCAATTCGTTGTAATACAACGAAGAAGAATATTCTCCTCTTTTCCGTTTTTCTGTGCATACGTCACGTCCATGTCAGAAATATAAAATCAATACGGTTAAATTATAAATAAAACGATTCTAATGCATTGTCGTTTACTGACGCGTACAGTGGAGTAGACATTAATTCAATGGTAGGAATATGACAAAGGAAAGTTGTAAACGTCATGTGACTCAAGAGTTTATTTGACACGAGCGGAGCACAGAGGAGCTACATTTTCGCAAAACAACGAATAAATTTACTGACATGGCCGTCGGAAGTGACAAACGTCAAAATTCAAGGCGTGGGAAATATCTCCGAAAACATCCGATTGCTCCCAAACCCGTGCGGTAAAATACCGGAAATGACCGAAGTGGCTCGGATCCGTGGGAAACGAAACTGACGTGGTAAAGTGACGCTTGCCGCACACTAGATCGATGTGTAATTCGGCATTTTCCGGACCGAAGTAGAAAAAATATTTTTAAGAATTATAAAGATAAAAAGATCACATAAAACAAACAAATAAAATATATATTTCGCGAAAATATGAACAAAAAAGAGGTCAAAGTGTGTCACAGATTACAGACCTTTTTGTTTGTAGCTATTCATATGATTTTCATATTCAGACGACACATTAAAAATATTTGTTATCAGCAAAGATCTTAAACATTTTTTTGAATATCTTGGTTTCCGTCTCTGTTTCAGCGCGAATCATATTATAGTATGCTTGCCGGAATAAGAAGGCGACAATGTTTTTTAACTGAAAGTTATTTCTGTTTCTTGTCGAATAGGAACGAATTTTTTATCTTGTTTAATTTTTCTTTATTTTTGGGTAAAATACATTACAATGTCAGAGTTAAAAAAAATGTAATTTTAAAAATATCTCTGCATGAATATAATGGTTTTAAGTTGCATATTATACTGATACTGATGTGTTTAAATAAAGTATTTATTGAATTTTTCGAGACATAGACATAGACATATAAAAGGTGTGCATTACATGTTCAACAAATATGTATGTTAGGAGGCAATAATGTTTACCAGCATTAGAAGGATGATTCGAATTTGGTAAAAAGTCGGACATTCCCCAACAATTGATAACACTTCCCTCCAATTACTATCTATTCCGACTAACTTGTCCTTTTTATCTGAGTTTATCACATTAGGATTGCAAAATCGAAACCATAAGCCATTAACAAATAAACCCACACTTCTACAGTTATGTGTTGCCCAATAATCGGCCAATATTTTTCTCATCAGTTTACTGATAAGCGTCCAACGTCACTATAGAAAAAGAACATCTCCAATAACAAACAAGTTAGGCAAAAGGAACCCGTCATAACCTCAAACTTAATTTATACAAAGTCTGCATGTAGGTGCTGATTTTAATTTTACGATGGGAGACGAGGCAAAAAAATAATCTTATCAGGGCAACAACTTCAATTGATCGCGTGGCCCAACGCACGAGATATCAGTGTATGATTTATCGCAATGATTAATCGAATACCTGGCACTCACCTAATATGTTTAAACCCTATGTCGTGGGGAGTGACCTTTTTCCAAGCTCCGTGCAAATATTCCCTGCAGATTCTGGCGGTCAGATCCTTCATCTCGAACGAATCTCCGTGCATCTGAGAACAAAACATTCTTGACCATGTTTTCCTCGAAATTCTTCGCATTTGACACTGAAACCCGAGGCACGCGGCCGAAGATTACGCGACTCTATTTTAATTTTTTTCAAATCTCGAACAGTTCGAAGAGTTTAGACGGGATGGAGTGGCAAAATTATATTTGACGCGAAATCGATATTCTAACGCAGCCGCCTGCGACGGGCCAAGTTCAAATTTTGGTCGACAAATTATCGGCCCGGTTTTCGAAAACTTACCTTTGTGTTGCGCGTGTTCAACATTTTCGAATATACTCGACAAAAATTGAAACGAAGTTAAAAACAGACTCGGACGAACGGAATGTTCCAGAACGGATATTGAACGCCACGTGAATCAACCAGCTGCGTACGATTCGCTAGCTCTATTAGGTTTTGATCTCAGTGTGTGTATTTATAATAATAAAATAATAATTGCAATGAGTCTCAGATACGATAATAGCCAAATAAAAACACAACTTCACATCTGCCTAGATAAAATCGCAATGAATCAAAACGCGAGTCTCGCTGCCCGCTTGCTGTTCCGACGGATTCTAATCGAATGGGGCGCGTAGTGGGGGAGCATGCGCGACGATGTCAGATGTATTTTACCGAAAATCCCCCTATGAATTGGCAACAGTGCCCAACTTAAAAAAAGTTGGAACCATTAACGACACGAACAATATAGGTATCTTTACTATAAATTTATTAAAAACTGTTAAAAATTCGAACACATTACTGTAAATAAACTTAAAAACGCAAATGGTTCTAACTTATTTTGCCTTTCCGACCCAAGAGGGCGCTACCTGACGGTCCTCTGCGGCGCCGCTTCTTTCTTTACAATGTCGTAGGTATTGCCGATGGTATTTCTTCAGCAAAATTGCCGCTATCGTTTTGGCCTTCGGAGACATTATGCGAAAATTCGAAGCGTTTACTGATTTCACGTTCACGGATACTTTGTGGTGGTCCGGGTGGTTCTGAATCTTATCGAAAAACAATGTTTCGTATTTGGAAAAGAGGCAGAAAGCTTCTTCGAAATTGTTCTCCGCGACGTAAACATTGAACATTTTGACCATGTTTAAGCCGGCCTCGTAGTAGATCTTGATAGGTACTTTAGGATCAATGTCTACGGAAGTGCTGAAGTCACGCAGGAGTTTGAGGCGTTCTTCCGCCTGTAAATTTGCGTGCAACTTCATCGACTCGAGATTTTAGCACAACAAAATGACGAAACGAAATTTTGACACATTTGACAGGCTTGAAAATTGGTACAGGTATAGAAAATGTTATTGGATATTACATTTCTACGTTTTGAATTCAGTAAGAACGCAAAGAAATTATCCTGTTATTAGCATCACAGAGAGTTGTAACGCTTTGCCGCAGCGATCTCCGCCAATCCTGACGCATCCGCCATTTTTCATTCGTTGTCGTTTCTCAAGTTGCGGAGAGATGGCGCAACAGTGCTCACCGCCGACTGGTGTTGTCTTGCGAAGCATAAATAGGTTTTAGAACGAAAGGAAAGGCAAGATCATACTTCACAGGATCATTTCTGCAGTATATCTTCGCATACTCTCCACTCAAAAGTAGAGTTTATCGCAACCATGATGACGAGTTATAGTCCTGTTTCTTGAGCGTGAGATATGATTCCGGATGAGCTTTGGTTCAACCGGACGTCCACGATGATCGTTCACCTGTTTTCGGACAGGAAACGGAAATGGGACAGTCCGAGTGGTTGCATTTTTCAAAATTTGAAACAAATTTCTTTTTAGACGTCATACGTGAAACTTTTCATTTTATGTGCAATCAAATTCATTACTGATTCCAATATAAGCGACAAGTCACTGAATCCCACAACTCCGAACGACCGATTTAGATTCATTTGAATTTGATTTATGTTTTCTGTTCTAGTTAGTATAATATTTAGCTGAGTTCTGCTTTTTATTGAATAATGATTCTATCAAAATAGGTGCTAGGTATTGGGCTGTACCAGTAATGTATTAATTTGTTTAAATTAAATGCCTGTGTGGAAAGATATTTCATTCAATATTCAATTAAACACAACCAAATCTACTAATCGATGTCGCAATTCAATACTACAGAATAATTATAACTGACACTGACATGACCTTCAGAAATGACAAACGTCAAAATTCAAAGCGTGGGAAATATCCCCGAAAATATCCGATTGATCCCCCCACCCCCCTGTTAATAATATCGCTTATCGACGATATTGGCCTTTTTTTAAGTGACAGGTTTATTTTAAAGCTACTTGTTTAATAACTCCTCTACCGATTAAAGTTTTATACACATTTTGACAACCTGTTTTGCACTATGATTTCAACCCGACGTTGTTATATTCTCGTAAAATAACTTTTTCGAAACGCACAGTAAAAGCGATTATTCAACACAGCCACAAATGGTCAACACTCAAGAAATATATCAGAAAGAAAGAAATTTATGGTCTGTTCATAGATATAAGAAAGCGACCAATTGCTTTTGAATGGGATTATTCAAGGGTGGTCACTAACATACAATGCAACAAGATTATTACCTGAAGTTGGGTAATTTAAATTCAGATAAAAATGTGGTCCGTAATAGAAAATAATTTTATACCTACCTGTGTCTAATATTCTTTGGTTTGGTATACTACTTAGTTTAACTTTATTATAAGATTAAGTTTCTTATTTCGTGTGTAATACAGCGTGTATTGAATCGTCTGCGAATTATGCAAAATATGTATGAGTCTAGTGTATCTCAGGAGATGCTCCCGCCCAAATGTAGAAAACACTATTCTATTGGGACTAAGGAAGTTATAAACAATGTTTATTTGACTTTCATTGACCGTGGGGTCAGCAAGCAAGCATCTTTAAGAAGAAACGGCCACATTGACGAAAATTCCAACATCAACTGTGTGGAAAATTGTGAATAATCCCATTACAGCGAGGAAAAAAAGAATCGATGCTGACATTTTCTCGAGTGTAGATGAAAGTGATCAAGATATAATACGGCGTAAAATTTACCAGTTATACGAGGAACAAAGCGGCCTACATTAGATATCTTAATTAGGAGGCTTGAAAAAGATGAAACCGGTGTTAAATGTGACAGAACTACCTTATGGAAGTGTATTCAACACATGGGTTTCAGATTTAAAAAAATTGACAAAATGGAATCTTTTAGAATTCGGAAATGGCGACTGGAATATCTAGAAAAAATTAGGATTTACACAGAACAACAAAGGCCAATTATTTACTTGGATGAAAGCTTGTTCGACACTTATGATACCCCGGAAAAGGGTTGGGTTGACTCAACTGATAAGTGTAAAACAAACGTGCCATCAAAAAGAGGTAAAAGAATAACTATTTTAAATGCTGCCTCTAAATATGGTTGGATCCTAAATAGACTTTCTCTGCCTGCGAAAAATATTAAAGATTCTTCTCTGGATTACCATGAAGACACCACCGCTGATTTATTTGAAAGTTGGTTTAAAAACAAACTAGTTCCAAACATTCCTACTGATATATTTTTGTCAATAATTTTAAGTAATTTAAGTAGGTAATAAAAATAATTTGTAATTGAAATTTAGATTTAAACATAAATACATACATAAATAAATAAATATTGTTTAGTATCTTTCTCTAACAAAACCCCAAATAATTAAATTCTAAGCAAAGCACGTACCTGTTCGGCCATATTTCATTCTTATAGCTTGTCCGGGTCTTTCCTTAATTCGTATCAGTTAGTCAGTTTCTTATATCTATGAACAGACTTTACCCGCGTAAATGATGGGACCACCATTTAATTTTTTCTACCTTTGTATATAGCACGGTGAAATTTAGTATGCAAGTAAAATGACTAATTTTGGAATAAAACAGTATTTCAAAATGTCAAAATTTGATACTCCTTAAAGATCTTTTCACGTTCTGTTCGCATACCAATTTTGAAAACATTTGATTCCTCAGTTTTTGTGCGTTTTCTTGGTTATCATGTTGTTAGTTCAATATTTATCGATTATAATTTGATTTGATATGTGATCCTTCCGGTAAGTACGTATGTATGTACCTAATTCTCGAACTTTGACCATGGATACTTCAAATGGTAAAGGTAAGTACCTGTAGTCTATTTACCTTTCAGGTAAGTTTGAAAATAATTATTTTTGTCTTGTCGATTAACAATATTCTTTTTTTTGTATTTTTGTGTCTTCTACATAGTTCTTCGATCTGTAAACAACAACAGTCTTTTTTAGGACTATACATTATATTCGATAGATAAAGATAAGGTACGAATCTTACAATTAAACATTTTTTTAAGGTTCCTATTTTTTAACATTTTAAAACGTAGAGACAGTGGAATGAAGCAAATGTGCTCCTTTTAGAAGAAGACATGGAAAACAACGCAGAATTTGAAGACGAAGTAGAGATGGTAGTCGAACCAAATGACAATTTAGAAGACAAACTACCTCAGCAAATAAAAAAACGGATCAATTTGTCTTCGTATTGTTTTGAATATTTACAATTTTATAAGCAATTCAGGAAGGGAAGTAGGAGCAGCAATAAAAACAAGTGAAATGATTAAAGATTCAAGTGACATGACATGACTACGGAAATATTTGAGGACTGGTTTGAAAACTATCGCCAAATACTGTTATTGTGTTGGACGAATGCCTCGTATCATTCAGCCCAAATTATTACAATTCTAAATACTTCTTCAACTAAAGAAGAAATAGAATTTCTGTACGAAAATGATTTATATTTTGAAGAGAGCTACATGAAAAAACAACTTCCGGCATTATTAAAACTAAAAGATGCTAATAAAGACTACAAAATCGATACGATAGCACAACAAAACGGACATGAAATCTTGAGATTACCCCTGTATCATTGTAAATTTAACCCGATTGAGATGATTGAGTGACTGATACTTTATTACTATTATATTTAATATTTTGTATATTAATAATGATACTATGTAGAAATGTAATGAAATAGAACGTAATAAATTGTTACTTTGCCTTAATTTTTATATGTACATATTTCAAGAATTTGCTAGGCGAAATAGATTGAAAACATACTTATATCGCGCTTGTTAGTGTAGTTAGATAAATTCCTAGGACGGTCCTGGAATGGTTACGGCCGAAGGTCTGCTCGTCAGGGTGTTTTATAAGGGGCTGCGGTTTTGGAGTAAGAAACAGTAGGCAAAGTTAATCGGGCATTTAATAAAATAGTAACCAAAAGCATTTTTTTTAAATTTAAGTTACGCGTAACTGCTAACTGGTTGACTGTCTTGCGAAAACTGACCAATCAAATGTTTTCAAAAGTGGTAGGCGAATAGAACGTGAAAAGACCTTTAAATGAAATAAAACATGACCCCTCCTACCATTAAAAAAATCAAAATGACTCCGTGGTATCATTTTGACAATTTGAGATATTGTTTTTATGTTAGAAATTAAGCATTTTAATTAAATATGTGCATGCCAAATTTCACCATGCTATACAAGGGTACCAAAAAATTAAAAGGGGGAGTCCCATCATTTACACGGGCACTGTATAGTTTATAATAATAATAATAATAATAATAACATTTATTTCAAATTTGTTACATATTATAACAAAATGAAATGACGTCAAACATAAGTCTGTCAGAAATAAATTAACTAGCCTATTACATATTACATATTAAGCTAGTCATTAAGACAATAAGATTCTAACTGGATTAATAACTGTTTAATTTTAGTCTTGAACAAACGTTGACTCTCAATCCGATTAATATGCAGTGGTAACTTATTGTAAAGCTTAACACACATACATTCCGGGCCTGTTTCAGTAATTTGAATCGGGTACTTAAAACTGTCCTCCCTGGTTTCTCTATAACTATTTCGTAAATGGTGAAAATGGTTTAAATTTCTACGTAAAAACATTAGACATTCAAAGATGTACAAGGCGTGCACTGTCAGAATTCCCATCTCTCTAAAGACATATCGATAAGAATGAATTCTGTCCATTTTCAATAAAACCCTAATTGTTCTTTTCTGTGGTACAAATATATCTTGTGTTCTACTGTGACGCCCCCAGAATATTATTCCATAGTTAAGTACAGATTCGAAGTTTGCAAAATAAACTATTTTTAAGGTTTTATTATCTAAATACTTGCCAAGGACTCTAATTCCATAATATATTGAATTTAGTTTGTTTAGTAAGTGATTTATATGAAATGTGCAGTCCAAATTTGCATCAACGAAAACGCCCAAAAACTTGACACTTTCCGAAACGTCGAATGAATTCTCCGCCATTTCTAGTTTTGTTATATTTTCTAATTTTGATTTTTTTGTTTTGAAGATTATTATGTTCGTTTTATTTGTATTAAGAGTTAGTTTATTTTAATTAAACCATTGTTTTACCTGTACGAAAAAACTACCGCTATCGCTTAACAATTGTGCCATTGTTTTGGTGCCAGTTAACAAATTTGCGTCGTCCGCATAATTAAGTATTCTGTGATAGGGGTGTTCTGCTTCGATATACAGATCATTTATGAAAATGACAAATAAAAGTGGCCCTAAAACACTACCTTGGACGATTCCATATTCGTTAGTTAAAATGTCGGATTTACTGGATTCGCCATTTTTAGTAACTCTCACTACGAGCATTCGCCCATTAAAGTAGGATTGTAACCACTTAAGTGCATTACCCCTAACCCCACATCTTTCCAATTTCCTTAACAGTAAAGGTCTGTCCAGGCAGTCATAGGCCTTGGTTAGATCCAAAAATATCCCCGTTGCTACTTCTCCTTTTTCAAAAAATTGCAACACTATTTTAATAAATTGGAAGATTGCTGTTTGGGTCGATTTTCCTTTTAAAAACCCATGTTGATTATTGTGTAGTAATTTACAATTTGTTAGGAAGTTAATTAGGCGTTTATACAAAGCCAGCTCAAAGAGTTTAGAGAATCCAGGCAATAAACTGATGGGCCTATAACCGTCCAGGTCTTGGGGGTTACCCTTGTTAGATAGTGGTTTCACTAGTGATATTTTCGACCCGTCTGGAAACTCTACATTTTTAAATGAATTATGAATTAAAACTCACAATATATCTTTTAACTCATTTACATAATCTCTAATAATACTAGTTGGTATTTCGTCTATGCCACTGTTAGGTTTCTTTTTTATTTCAGAGCCTAGCTGACAAATTTCTTCAGGAGAGACAGGTTTCAGGTACTATACTGAATTGGTACGGATTTTGTTTTATATTTTTAAGAATATTTGGGACTATTGATGTTAGATACTTATTATATTTGTTAGCTATGTGCTCAGAATTTTCCTCTAGTTGAATATCATCATTTCTAGTATTTCCTGTAATATCTTTAGTTATTGCCCACATACATTTCATTTTATTATTAGAGTTCATAATTCGTTCTTGATAGCTTTATGTTTGAATATATTTTAGCTTAGTATCGTATTCTTTTTTGTATGCTTGTAAGCATCTTTATATTTATTATTGTCGTTACTTACGGTTAAGAGAATATCTAGCCTTTTTTTAATTTCCTGTAATGCTGGATTGGTGTTAGCTTTTTTGAAGCTATGTTATATTAATCTAAAAGGAAATTTCTGATTAAAAATAATTTTATACGTACTTATAAATATTGACCACTGCTTATTTACATCTTTTTTGTTACATTCGCATAACACAGTCTCTCCCTGTAAGAAAACATGTTTATACACAGGGAGCTCAGGAGTTTTTGACTGTGTTTCAAAAATTAAAGAAATGATCAGAAATGTTATATTCTAATACAATTGTTTTAACCGAATCTGAGTTAGTAAAGATATTGTCAATCCAACTTCCTGAAGTATAAGTTATTATAGTTAGGGCTCGTGTTATATTCATCATTATTATAAAAACTTAATTTTGTCGCATATTCGCATGTCGCTACTCGAAATACTCGATACAACTGGCACCCCGCTTTCTTTGATTACGGTCTGCGGCGTCGGCGGCGGCGACGGAGGCGGCCCAAGTTACACCCCCTACCTTATTTACTTCGCTAGGTGAGTATATGCGGGGGAGGACATTTTCGCTCCGGTTATTTGTTGTTCTCTCGCCGTAGGTCGTCGCACGGGCGGCAGTATTACCCGATTTTGTCGCCTGTGGAGTTCTTGGTGCGGAACGCCGATCCTCGCAGTGTTCCGAGCGCGTTTGAACTTTCCATTTTTTTTTCGCTAGTTCCGAGTTAGGTATTCGCGTATCAACCGCGCTTGTTACGTTTCGGGTTTTTTTCGTTGGTTTTCCTTGGAGACGAACTTCGACGAAGGTAAGATCGGCGGTTATTTATTTCCGGGTTTCCTCTTAAGAGATCTAAACATCAATATATTCGTAAATATTATGGAGGTATTTGACTGTGATCCTTCCAGTAAGTACGTATTTATGTACCTGATTCTCAAGCTTTGATCCTCCGGGGCTGTTTTCACTGGATAGTTTAAAGATTAAGGGTACTCTATTTATCTGACGGGTAAGTTTGAAAATAATCATATTTGTGTTGTGTGCCTGTCGATTAACAAAATTCTTGTTCTTGTATTTTTTTGTCTTCTACATAGTTCTTCGATTTGTAAACAACAGTCTTTTTTAAGACTATAGATTATACTCCCGGTAGATAAAGGTACGTCATAAGAATACGGATAAATATTTATTGGAACCTTACAATTAAACATTTTTTGAAGGTTCCTGTTTTTTAACACTTTAAAATGTGGAGACCGTCGAATATAGCAGATGTTCCCCTGTTAGAAGAGGATATGGCAAATAACGCAGAATTTGAAGACGGAGTGGAGATGGTGGTAGAACCTAATGACAATTTAGAGGACGAACTACCTCAGCAAATAAAAAAACCGATCCATTTGTCTTCGGATGCTAAACAAATTGTTTTAAATGCTTACAATTTTATAAAAAATTCAGAAGAGGATGTAGGAGCAGCAATAAAAACAAGTGACTTGACCAAAGTTCCGAAGTTAACTGTAAGAAAAATTGTTGCAAATGGGATAGTCAAGACAAAAGATGCTGGAATTTCGCTACTTTTTAAGGAGCAGATCTAATTAGGCATATAATTTACGACGCTTATAAAGTGCATAGTGTTTTAACCCTAGGAGAACTGCACAAAAAAGTACTGACACACTTAAAAATTAGTTGTGCCATAGAGTCGTTGCGTACTTTTTGAAGAAAATGGATTTTCAGTTCCAAACAGTTAATAAACCTCAAGTGTCAATGGAATCTCAAAGAATTTCGCAATGGAGGGCGGATTATTTAAAGTCCATTGAAAAATTGGTCAACAGTGTATTTAGCAAGTGTGTACGTTCCGGCTTCACATGGAAAACGCATAATAATTCTTCATGCTGGGTCCAAAAATGGTTGGGTGGAAGATGCCTTATTTTTTTCTGCCGAAAACGTTATGTTGGATAATGCCTCGTATCTTATTTACTTACTTGTGGGATTATTAAAAATAAAACATTTTAATAAAGACTGCAAAATCCACAAAACGGACATGAAATCTTGAGATTACCCCCGTATCATTATATATTTAACCCGATTAAGATGATTTGGTCTTAGTTGTAAGCGCATATAAGAAGAAATACCACTGCACCAAAATTTAGTGATAGATTCTAAACGTAATTCGGCAAGAGGTAGCTAAAATATCACTACAAAGCTGGTCCAACTGTGAAAAACGAGTAATAAAAGAAGGAAATATGTATCCAGAACGATTAGTGGTGGCGATTGAAGCGATAGTGACGTTTTTGTAAGTGACTGATACATTATAATAATAATAATAATAATACATTTATTGTTATAACCATCAAAGTTACATAGAAATAATTACATTCCCAAAGTATAAGTATATTTAATATTTTGTATAAAATAGAACCTAATAAATTGTTACTTTGTACTAATTTTTATTATGTGCATGTTTCCAGAATTGCTCGGCGAAAAAGATTGAAAACATAGATAGATAAATTCCTAGGACGGTCCTGGAGTGGTTACGGGTAAAGGTGTGCTCGGCAGGGTGTTCTCTAAGGGGCTGCGGTTTTATAGTAATAAACAGTAGGCAAAGTTAATCCCGGGGTCTGTTGTAAAAGTACTATATTTCTGGTAGAAGTATAACAAAAGCTTACATGATGGTTTTTAAAAATCCCGTATTTTAGTTGACACTGATTTGCATACAATAGAAAGACAAGTTTCGTTAATGAAAGTAATGTGACAGCGGCTTTACTATTAGAATAATAACTATACATTAATTAATACTACAATTGTAGAGACGGGCAGAGGATTGAGATAATAATGGTAATAAGAATTTACCGTTTATAAACCACTTATTATGTTACTATATATATATATATATATATATATATATATATATATATATATATATATATATATATATATATATATATATATATATATATATATATATAGTAACATAATAAGTGGTTTATAAACGTTTAATTCTTATTACCATTAACGCGCTTGTTAAATGTTCCACCATCCGCTGTCTATTCATTCTTGCAAGAGGGTTTCGAAGTCCATCATTTTAAAGAGGTCTTATGCCTTGCTACAAACCTTTTCACTTGTCCCCTTTAGGATTTAGTGTGATAGTGTGAGTGTAGTTAGTGTGAGTCGATATTAGGTATCCATAACTATATCAGACACAGGAAGACAAAACCTAGCATTTGCTGGAAATAGTCTTCAAAAACATTAGTGTTCATGCCTTATGGTTATGGTTATTCCGCTCTACTGACATATTTTAAACAGCGTACCTTGTCAAATTAGTCCCGTTCCATTGAAAGTTATTCATGCCTGAAGAGATGGCTTTTTCCTTGCAATTTTTAGTTTCATATTGTTACATGTGGTCGGATATATTATTCCTATAGCCGTATTCACCAAATACGGAACATTCAATAAGTAAGCTGATAGTAACACAGTGACCTTGCTAATTTTCTATATTTGGCCTTACCCAGAGAAACTAACTTCATGCCATTTGTCGTCTTAACCTAACTTTTCGGTTTTTGTTTCTTGTGTGTTGTGTATTGTAACATTAAAGTTTATATATTTTTCGGATGTTTTTATCAGTCTGGTTATCGAAAATTGATAAGTTGTCTAGTTCGTGGATCTGTTAATTATATACATCGTGAAAAAGGGATAATACTCTCTCTTGTACAAAAACAGTTCAAAATCATAAAAAATTTAAAAACCCAATAAGCAAACGGCAGAATGTTGAGAAAACTGGTACAACTAGGTATTTATAGAGAACCAGTTTTTCTGTTTTTAATCACCTCTAGGGGATTAAATTTTTACATGCGTCAAATGCACCTGCAAAATGAAAATATTTTTCATGGCGAAATTTTTCTTGCTTTTGTAAACAGTTTCAAGTAAATAACTCATCACGTAAAATAGGGGTTGATGTACTGGAATTTTTCATTTAACGAATTGCTCCCGCACGTGGAAAATAGTAATAGGAATTCAAGAATTCCAAAGCAAACAAGAACTGATTGCGTAAAAACTGTCTAATCATTGGATCTGTTTTCTCCAAACTCAACAAGGAAGGACACAGCATTTGTTAATAGATATTTTAGACAATTAAATAATCTGATCGCATACGTTGTAGCATTTTTATTATTATTTTTTCATTGCCCACAAGAAAAACATCATACGTGCAACGCATGCGATTTTTGGCGATCTTTTGTCTTGAAGGTCGGAAATACGTTCGGCTCCATCGAACGTATCCGAAAGCGCTTACAGAGATTAAAAATGCTCCATTACCGAAATAATCTCTCCGCCTTCACATAAATCTACCTCTGGTAGACCTCACGGTTCTCCGGCAATCATTCGAGGTAAAGGAGCATCGCGCAGAGCTTAGTTATAGATACAGTTAAGTCGAATGTTTTAGGTTGGCGTCACTTTTGTCTCGCGTTACGTAACACCGTATACCGGTACATTCGAAGAAATTCCGCGCTTTCGCGTTTGTTTCTCCGTGTGTTCACTCGCGCATTGAAAACAAACCTCCATTGTACGTCGTAGGAAACAATACTCTACGCACCACCGATCTTGGTCAAGAAGATATAGGCTATAAGTAATTATCAGCGGCACTCTCACTTTTTCTGTCTCGGGTTAAAAGCGAAGCACTTCGTTTAGCGGGAGATCCTCAATAAACGGTCCGGATATGGTGTGTCTCGAAGTATATCGTCTTGATTTTTGACGGACCCTACCTCAAAAAGTAATTACGACCTTCAGAGCTGTTTTTACAGTCTGACATATGATAAATGCTATAAGCTATAATGTTATGAGATTTCAATATCAATAGAGTGTGCAACTTAAGTAATTTACCAAATTTAACCAATATTGAAACAAAGTATCTAGAGTTAATAAATTAATACGATATGCAAAATTATAATGCGCTATTAAACGGTAGAGACAGAGTATTGGATTGGGTTCTGAGTAATCATAAGTTAACTGTCAGTCGCAGCGTTTTTCCTCAGCTGGGAGAAATAGCGGACCAGCTCTTCAAATATCCGGTGAAGTTTTTACTCAATTTGATAGAGAAACTAAAGGTTTTCTTAGCGAATTTATTTACCAAAAAGCAGATTTTGAAAAGCTGTATAACTTTTTAAAAGTTACAACATGGGAAGGGCTGAATGGTCACAAAGAAATCAATAAAGCTATTGCTCATTTTTACGAGATATTTCTAAGAATTGTATCAGAGTGTGTCCCACTTTCCAAATATAGCGCTATCCATAGTGGTTCAACAAAAATAATATACAGGATTTAAAACGTAAAGCCTTTTATCACGATAAAATAAAAAAATTCAACAATGATTTTGATATACAGATATTTACTAATTTACTTTTGTATTTTTTGTTGATCACCCAGTTTTCCGCGCCGTATGTCATTACGCTCTGTACTATGGTGTTAAATATATGTGATATGGTGTGTCGAATGATGTGTCTATCCCAGAGTATTGGATTTAGTTGTCTGATACAGTTTCGCGTCTGGCCTAGTGTACTGTTCATTTCTTCCTCTGTTGTCCCTTTTTGAGATATTATGAAACCTAAGTATTTGAAATTTTTGGTTCTCTTTATTTGAAGATTTTCATCGACTTGTAGGTAGTTTTCTCCATCTTCTGTTGTTGCCAGGTATTCAGTTCCATTCCATTTTTCTCATATTCTTCCTTCAGTTTTCGTAACATGTAACTTAGGTCTTCTTCGTCTTGTGCGAGTACAACTTGGTCGTCCGCGAAATTTAAAGTGTAAAGACAGTCGCCTCTGATTGGAT